ATCAGCGAAATCCTATCGCTGTTCACGAAAGTTTGGACTGAGGAGAAGGTTCCGAGCACATGGGGAGAATCGGTCATTGTCCCGATTCACAAGAAGGGTTCCCGCGCCGATTGCTGCAACTACCGTGGAATCTCCCTAATCTCTGTCGCATCCAAAATCTTCGTGTCGGTCCTACTTGGCAGACTTTCAACGACTAGAGAGGAGTTTTCCCGAGAAGAACAAACTGGCTTTCGTCCAGGCCGCGGCTGCATCGACCAAATCTTCACGTTTCGGCAAGTTCTCGAACTTCGTCACATCCACCGGCGGCCAACAATCGTAGTGTTTTTGGACATCCGAACGGCATTTGATTCAGTAGATAGATCTGCGTTGTGGAACTGTTTACTGAAGAAAGGTGTGCCCGACAAGTTTGTAACCATCCTGAAAGTACTTTACAGTCACACGTCGGGCAAAGTTAGGGCTTACGGCACGCACTCCTCTTCATTCGCTGTGACCAGTGGTGTTCGCCAAGGTTGCCTTATTTCACCTTTCCTCTTCAATTTCGCCATCGAAAATGTTCTCCAAAGAGCACTGGAAGGTGTCCAGGACTGCGGTGTTGAGCTTCTCCCTGGAGACAGACTCACGGACTTGGATTACGCCGATGATATCGCCTTGCTGGGGGACGACTCACAATCCGTCCAGAACGCTCTGGACCGCTTGGCGATGGAGGCGTCTAAGTACGGCCTGTGCTTCACTCCGGGAAAATGTAAAACGCTGCTCCAGCATTGGCAGGTGCCTGTGTTAATGGGACGGAACCAGCCAATGAGAGCGTTTTACGCTGAGGACTATTGATTTGGCCATAAATTGAATGTACCGTTAGTTGGACGTTAAGAAAATATACTTGCCAGCCGTACGCCGGTCTCCTGCTTTGGGAAGTCGGGCTGATCAGAGTGCACGCTAGCAGCAGGTCATCGGTAGGTCAGCCGAAACCATAACATATATTTTTGGCGACGGAAGGTAGTGGATCAAGATGTCAATTTCAGCGGAAGACCTGAAAATCATTTTGTTGCAGCAACAGCAGCAATTTGAAACAGCACAGCTGCGTATGATTGAAACCCTCACCCAAATGTTATCTGTGCAGCCTACGGTCGTTCAGAACAATGGGAAGCCTTCGGCGGATGCGATGATCAGTAGTGTTAATGAGTTCATATTCGATCCTGACTCAGGATTAATATTCGATGCGTGGTTCAGGCGCTATGAAGATGTTTTCAGGGCAGAGTTGTCAGGTCTCGATGATGCATCTAAAGTTCGCCTTTTGTTACGAAAACTCGGAACGGTTGAACATGACAGATACATTAACTACATTTTGTCAAACAACGCGCATGATTTCAGCTTTGATGATACAGTTGCTCGACTCACAGTGTTGTTTGGAGACCAGTCGTCTCTTTTCAATAACCGATACAATTGTCTAAAGTTATGCAAAAAGGACAATGACAGTCTTATTGCTCACGCGGCGATAGTCAAACGTGAATGCCAGCAATTCAAACTGAAGTCGCTCACGGAAGACCAGTTCGAGTGTTTGATACTAGTATGCAGTCTACAGTCCCCAAAAGACGCCGAGATACGAACGAGAATACTTGGTATGTTGGAACGCGACACAGATGTTACATTACAAAACGCCATTGCTGAAGCCCAAAGAATCATGAATTTAAAGCACGATACGGCTATGGTGGAAGATTCGAGAGCACATTCCGCAGATATATCTGTCCAGCAAATTTTAGGAAACAACCCACCGACCGCTCAACCTAGCAGATATCCACAATCCAAACCCCCATCACCTTGCTGTCAATGCGGAGGATGGCATTTTGTGAGATGGTGTCCTTTCAGCAAACATGTTTGTCAAAGGTGCTTTAGACGGGGGCACAAGGAGACCCACTGCAGATTCAAAACATCATTTAGATCGTCATGTGATACTCGAAAAGCAGGTTACCGAAGGTTCGCGACAAGAGTAAACGCTAACTATACGGACGATGTTAAAGATAGAAGAAAGTTCGTCACTATTACCATCAACGGAAGAGTAGCGCGTCTGCAGATTGATACGGCTTCCGATATTACAGTCATTACGGAAAACTTATGGAAAGCTATCGGTTCACCTGACATTAAACCAACTAACCATAAAGCGAAGAGCGCATCAGGTACGAGTCTAAACTTGTTCGGTCAGATTGAATGTGAGTGTCGCTTTGCCAACTTCACCGCTTGGGGAACTATTTTCGTCACAACACACAAGAATTTGAACCTCCTTGGATTAGACTGGATTGAGCGATTCAACCTCTTAGATGTTCCCATTAATCAAATCTGTGCAAGTGTACACGTACACAAACCAAAAGTCCCCAAGGCAATGGCAATCGAACAAATTCGAGAGAAATATGCACCTGTTTTCCGTGAAGGACTTGGTAAGGGTACAAAGTTGCAAGCCTCATTGTCCTTAAAACCCGATGCTGTTCCTGTTTTCCTTGCAAAGCGGCCAGTACCTTACGCAGCATTCCCAATTGTTGACCAGGAACTTGATCGTTTGGAGAAACTTGGGGTTATCTATGCAGTGAACTACTCTTCTTGGGCGGCTCCAATTGTGGTTGTCAAGAAGCCGAACGGCCAGATCCGAATATGTGCCGACTTTTCTACTGGGCTGAATGAAGCGTTAAACACGCATCAGTATCCTCTGCCAGTCCCAGATGATTTGTTCTCGAAACTAAATGGAGGTCAGTGTTTTGCCAAGCTAGATCTATCGGATGCGTACTTACAAATAGAAGTTGATGAAGCTTCTAGAGAATTACTGACGATAAATACGCACCGAGGTTTGTATCAGTATCATCGACTTCCATTCGGAGTTAAATCCGCGCCAGCAATTTTTCAGCAAATCATGGATACTATGCTAACAGATGTAGATGGTGCTGCCGCATATTTGGACGATATCATTGTCGTCGGAACTAACCCAGATGACCTTTTCAGAAAGCTGCACTTAGTACTTGATCGCATACAAGAGTACGGATTTAGACTTCGCCCAGAAAAGTGCACGTTTTTCATGGACTCCATTAATTTTCTTGGCTTCATAATTGACAAGAACGGTAGACGTCCAGATCTGTCAAACATTGATGCTATAAAAAAGATGCCACCTCCCAAAGATGTGCCTACTCTGAGGTCCTTCTTAGGACTCGTCAGTCATTACAGTCAATTTCTGCCACATATGCACAGCGTGCGTGGACCACTCAATGAGTTACTCACCAAGGACAAACGTTGGCACTGGTCCGAAGATTGTCAGAAGTCCTTTGAGGAGGTGAAGCGAATGCTGTGTTCTGACCTTATGCTGACACATTACGACCCTACACTTGAAATCGTGGTAGCGGCAGACGCTTCGAAGTATGGCGTGGGTGCAGTTATCTCTCATAAGTTTGCTGACGGATCGGAAAAAGCGATCGCACACGCAGCTCGATCACTGTCGCCAGCCGAAAAGAATTACGGGCAGATAGAGAAAGAGGCATTAGCGATAGTCTTTGCAATAAAGAAATTTCACAAAATGTTGTATGGCAGGAGGTTTACCCTGCTTACCGACCATAAACCACTCCTAGCCATATTTGGATCAAAGTCCGGTATACCCGTTTATACCGCGAACAGACTGCAGCGTTGGGCCACGGCCTTACTCGCCTATGATTTTGTGGTGAAGTACACGGCTACAAAGGACATAGGTCAAGCAGACGCACTTTCCCGGTTATTGGAGCTACAACAGCATCAGCAGGAAGAATCTATTATTGCAGCAATCTCCTTTGAATCAGAGGTCAACCAGGTCTTGATGGAGAATTTTAGGAAGCTTCCCGTGACGTTCGACATGGTACGTGACGCAACTGTGCGAGATCCCCTCTTGCGCCAGGTAATCAAATTTCACACTACGCAGTGGCCAAGTGATACTCTATCCGGAGAGCTACAAATTCTCTCTCGGAGAAAGGACGAACTTTCGATCGTAAATGGGTGTTTACTTTTGGCCGAGAGAATTGTCATACCCAAAGAACTTCGCCAAAGAGTCCTTCAGCAATTTCATCGAGCACATCCTGGAATTAACAGAATGAAAAGCATTGCTCGGAGTTTTGTCTACTGGCCAAACATTGATTCGGAACTCGAGCAACTAGTAAAGTCATGTCCCAGATGCGCGCTTGCTAGTAAGGCACCGAGAAAAGCTGACTTAGCTTCCTGGCCGTTGGCAACAAAACCGTGGGAACGCGTGCACGCTGATTTCTTTGGTCCCCTAAACGGTCAGCAGTACCTAATAGTTGTTGATTCCTATAGTAAATGGCCTGAGGTCTTCTGTATGGAGCGTGCGACAAGTGGTGCAACAATTAACATTTTGAGGAGACTTTTCAGTCAACACGGAATACCAGAAATCTTGGTCACTGACAATGGTTCTCAGTTCACTTCTTCCCAATTTGCCGAATACTGCGCACAGCATGGTATCACGCATCTACGGTCGCCACCGTTTCACCCTCAGTCAAATGGACAAGCAGAGCGCTTCGTCGACACGTTTAAGCGATCGCTACTAAAGATGCGGGGGGAAGGAACCACACAGGAGATACTTGATACATTTTTGCTCGTGTACAGATCAACTTCAAATCCCCAAGTACCAAACCAGTTGTCGCCGGCAGAAGCACTAATGGGAAGAAAACTCCGTACTGTGAATTCCCTGCTAACTCCGAGGTGTACTAATGAGCAAGAAAGGAACGTTCGGATGGAGCAGTACTACAACGAGCGACACAGAACTCAAGCACGCCGCTTTTACCCCGGACAGCGTGTCTTAGTAAGAGACTATCGCGCGGGAAACCCGCAATGGGTGGTAGGATCGATACGGAGAAATATTGGACAGGTGCTATATGAGGTTAATGTGGGTAATTTGATTTGGACGAGGCATTCCAATCAGCTGCGACCAACTAGCATCCCTGCGGGCACAAGCGCTCGGTTACTACCGTTAGATATTCTACTAGAGAGTTTCGACATGCCATCTAATCCCCAAAGCAATTCGGATGCATCCCGCACAGAAGTCTCAGAGGAACCGAAGGTCCAGACCCGGCGCTGTACTGATCGACTACGGAGACCTGTCGTAAGAATGCAGTTGGATCCAAAAATGAAGTCTTATGTCAACTTTTGCGGGGGAAGGTGTTAATGGGACGGAACCAGCCAATGGGAGCGTTTTACGCTGAGGACTATTGATTTGGCCATAAATTGAATGTACCGTTAGTTGGACGTTAAGAAAATATACTTGCCAGCCGTACGCCGGTCTCCTGCTTTGGGAA